TAACAATTAAGAGTAAATAACAAGGAATTAATTGCTTAAAATTATTCAGTGTCAGGAATTTTTCCATCGTCTGTTCTTTAAAACCATGGCGTTTCGGAGGCTGGTTCTGTCTCCGTCTTCAGGTGAGAGGTACTTACTCTGTTGGGTCCCTTAAAGAACAGACGATGGAAAGAGTATGACAATGAATAATTTTAAGTGTAAACTACAGTCGTCAAAACCCTTTAGAATTGAATTAATTACTTCTTCGTTGTATTCTCTACAAGGAATAATTAAAATCGAAAACAGGTATAAATTCTCATGGTTCGTTGTAACGAAAATTCGTAAATCGAAGTTCGTTAATTGGTTCATAGATGTAATTGGCCTAAAACGACTTCATGTTCCACAGCGAGAATCAACCAAAGATTCTGTCTCTCTTTCGCTTTGAGATTCATAACAGCAAATCAGTCGGTAACCAGACAGGTTACTCCGCAGTAAACAGGTGTTCGGCACAGGTTCACATTTGGGCTGACAGTTTGTCCGACACGTGAATTCATTTGGGTAATTGCTACAAAAAAAATAGACGAGGAATTTCACCTGAGACAACGGGTTATTAACGGGTGTTACGTAACGTAGATTATCGTTACACAACTATCATGATGACTGACTTACGATTGTGTGAGATGAATCGCTTCTAAATCTGTGGCATGTACACCGCTGTTAGCGTGAGTTGCTTCAGGGCTGGTATAAAGCAGAAGGTAAGAGGCAACAGATTTCAAACTGATAAAAACGTGGGAACGCAAGCGAAAATATGACTAAAAGAATAGAACACAGCTTTCTACAGACAAAGGACAGGGACTTACGCAATGGCGTAACTCAAGTCTCCGTGTGGATTTTCTAGAGGAATAGATAGTTTACGGTCGAACATTAACCACAAGGAAAACACTGTGAATCACTTTTTCTTTCCTTCATCCTTTCCAACACAATTTTTATTTGTATTTGCTTCCTTTATGTTTCTCTCTTCTCTTCATTTAATTTTGTAGTTTCTTCTATTTATCTTCCAATTCTTCAGTCTCAATTCTTGCTTCGTTCTCCTTTCCTTTCCAATCCTTCGTTCCTTCTCTCCGTTTACCTACATTTCGTTATCTCATATTCTGCCTTGTAAACGTACCTCCCGAAGACGCAGACGTACAAACGACAGACAGAAACAAGAAACGAAACGTGTTTCAAAACGACACGACAGACAGATTTATAAGACAGGATTTAAACGCATGACCTTGAGTTATGTGAGTGGCTAAACGGAAGAAAAGAATCACGAAAAGGAATTCAGTTTCGAAAGGTTTTAAATGTAGATTTTTGTCATAAAGCACTTCACGGTCATTCTGTTGATAGAGCGCTCCGTATTCTGTGGCTATTCAGAGATTACAAAAAAACTACAATGTCATTGACAAACCAGTAACGGTACGGTAGCCTTCCCGAAACAAAAGTAAATGGCTTTGATTTAAACACGCTTTACAATTACTTCGGGTGTGTGCACACTGAAGAATTTGTTGCAAAAAATATTCAAATTTATTATTTAAATAGATGGTTACGAGCCTCCACCCTAAAATTATCTATTTAGTTAATTAATTCAACATGCATGATTTCTGGGTTGTTGCGCCGTGTAATCTGGTAAACTTTTAACGACGTTTCAGAGGTCCTTGCTGTCTCCATCATCAGACCGATGAGTTATTGCCCACAGAACGTATTTATGTGTTTAGTTTAGTTTTCAGAATAAACAGGATTAAAAAATTCGTCTTTGTAACAAAGACGATGTTTCCTTTGGGGTAGGAACTGAATTTTAAACATTACTTTGATAAACTTCGTGTTTCGAACGGTTAACGTACAACTGGGGCATAGGTGTGTTGCCTTGGAGGCGCAGGTTGAATTTCTAAATAACATCAGGATCAGATTTGTTTTCAAGCAGAGAAATGTGTGCACAAATACCGCAATTCTACACTTTTACACACTCATAGCTTGTCTTATTTTGTTATTTCAAACAAGTCACGCGCGCACACAGTAAAAAATAACATTCAAGTATTTATTTAATAAATGATATGAAGTATCCTTCTCGTTGTTGGGGGTTGCCCTTGCAACAGATCGGTGACTGGCGTTACGATAGAACGTCCCTGACCGCCATAAACATCATGGTTAATGTGGGCGGAGGGGTAAGAAGCAACAGGTATATATAAAGTTGAAAATGCACCAGGTCTTCAGCATTCGATCGCAGAGACTGAAAGCCACATTCAACATGTACAAGCTGGTAAGTCTACTGCTGTAGCATGCTTTAGGGTATCGGAGAACTAACGCAGGTTTTCAAATTTAAGATCCAAAATTACTTATTTACAGATTCAATTTACAAGTTTTTTTTTCTGTTTCAACCATAATTATCTTAAAACCTGCCATGTAAAAGGGATCGAGAATACACAAATTTGAATTAACTCTTTAGGAAATGACGTTCTGTGAACACGATGACGAACGTTTTTATAAATGGATACAACATTTCTGTCAGGAAGTTATTCCTTTGGAGACCTAATCATAGATAATACTCCGGATAAATATAATATAGTACTTATTCCGATAGGACTTTGTCATTCAGTTTATTGTAGCCAGCGACGTTTACGAAGCGTTTCAGTTTTATACAACAATCATCAGGCAAGAGGATAATATTAAAATATAAATTAAATAAACAAGGAAAGTGTATAGAACTGAAAAATGTTTGCAATACAGCATAGCACAGTAGCGAGATGACTATACCAAATTAATAACAAAATATTTAAGCTATCACAATATATTTAATAATTACCACGTAAATTTTACCACTTAAAGTTACTATTCAAGAATTTATGTGAAGAAACTGAGAAATATCACGTAAAACTTCAGCCAAGGTAACTGATTTCCGGGTCAGGATTCAAACCGAGGAACAGCAAGTCTGTATAATAAAATTCATGTTCATACAGACCCTAACTCAGTGTTAGCCGGGTAGAGACGTTTAACACGAAAGCTCCACCACTGATTCAGGTACTGTTGGTAATAAAGTAAGAAACCAATTATGTATCATTGCAGCCAGTAAATTACATCACAAAATCAAGCGGTCAAGGGAAAAGCTAAGATGTTTGAAGAGAGAGTTTTAGGTCATCAGTGAAGTATCAAGGCATACAATCTCTTGATGATTATTCTCAGTCACTTTTACACACGAACACAAACACACACACATAGCCATCATAAAGTTATGATGAAAGTTCGAAGTCAATGTACATAACTGGATTACTTTTTATATTATCATTTTTAATGTAATAATAATAATAATATATAACAAAATAATTGCTTTCAAAAGTTGTTAAGATGTTTTTATCTTTAAAAAATAATTAAAACTTATTAAAATTACCGGCTAGTTTGGTGAGTCCTGGTGTATTTGTGTTTGAGATGTGTCTTGCAGTCTTTGTACAACGCTATAGCACAAGACACTGACTTTAACATTCCATGAGACACTTTGCTGACGGCGAAAAATGTAGTTTGTAGAACGGAACTAGATTATAAATACGTCTAACGTTTTTTCTTTAAAACTAATTAGTATTTGTGATGATGAAACAAGTGTGTTATATAAATCAGTGTTTTAAATTACAAGCACGTGAAGTATGTTAAGTTACGAAACGCCTGTAATTGACAATGAAGTATTCGCTGACTTGAAGGTTGAAGCATTCCGTGGTAAACCAAGTGGATACAATATCAGCGTAATGTCTATATACTTCCATCGTCTATGACCGCATTACTTTGCCCTAGATGAAAGTATCACACTC